AAGTGATGAAACCATGGCAAGATACTATAGAAAGCAAGACAATGCATACAGTAAAAAGGACAGGAAGTAACAAAAATCGAAGGGCAAGAAACTACAGGAGAAATACCACGACTACTAGTAAGGAAGGATAAGCAAGACAACGCTAGCTAGAACTAACCAGACAACAGTATATCAGATCGAAGCACATGCAAAGTCGAGAAAACTCAAATGTTTTAGTATCTCTGGAACCTTCATTCAAGATTCTGTACATCAACTTGAAATATAAGTCCTATAAGACTATAAACAAAAGAGGGCATATGGTCATCCTGGAGCCTAAAGACATCAACCTCGCGTGTTGCAATTTTATCGGATAAATTCAAATAAATATAAACAAGAAACGAATCCAACAAACAAAGACATGGATTTGAAGCAGAAACCATTTTTTCCACATGATTCATAAAGTGTATATTTCCTACAGAATCAGGCAATCGAAAGCAAGAAGGATGAGCATTACATACCAAGGGAATGTCAAAAGCAATGAAGTTGTCCCTAGGATTCTTTGCAACAAAGACCATCCGGATATTCGATAAGTAAATGGTTCCTTTTGTTTGTACTTCTCCTAAACTACAAAAGCAAAATATTCATAATTCATGTCAATGCAGATGTCATTAACTTGGTTTAAAATACCAAAATATAAGAAAAAAACAAACAAACAAAAAGTGAAGAAAGAGACCATAGCCCGAGAAGGCGATGCACAAATAACGTTGATCTTTCCTAAGTTCAATACCACTACCCAGCCACTCCATCCACACTGAATAAACTCAATGCATTAATCAAGCCCAACAATACAAATACATGCTTCATGTCCAGGCTATCTCAACTAATTCCACGTGCTACATGTTACCTCCCACCAGCACAACTATCACGTAACTCTGTCCATCCAAACTTATAATAAGAGGAAATCACCCAATATTTCCTTCTTTGCTGAGATTTGATGCTAACACATCCATGTTTCTCAGCTCAATTCATTAATCACTATGCCATAATACAATGTTAAATTAACTCTTACACCTAACTCACAGCCACTGTTGGGGATAGAATTTTTAATAAGGGGTTCAAAATTTGAAGAACTAAACACATGAACTAATCAAAGAGGGTTCCACATCTACTATACATACATAAAATATAATTTTAACCATATATAAATAATAATATTTTCGCAAAAGGAGGTTTGGATGAACCCCTAATAGTATGGTAGCTCCACCCCTACTCACACCCTGAAAAAGTTAGCTCAAAAAAAGGAGAACGGAAAATTGTTTGAGCCTTATAAGAAGCCCACCATTCCATTCATTGTGACACATTTCATTCATCACACATATATTTTTTTTTATGACAAGGGAAACCGCAGCCGCTACCCTTGTAAAATTCCCGCTCCTATGCAATAGCTCGCAAACCACATAGGAGAGGTAACCCGCACTACGCAAGCCCGGTGCGACAACCCAAAAGGCAAACTCCTTATTTTCAGTGGCAAGGGGTTTCGAACTTGAGACCTCCAACATGGAAGTCTCAAGCCCAAACCACTGGGCCACCCCGAAGGTATTCATCACACATATTTGGGTGGTGCATTCAATAAACTTAATCTATCCACTAAAATAAATTAATCTCATGAAAATCTTTACCATAATCTCGTAAATTGCACTACTTACAAGATTAATCACAATTATTTTTTTGCCCAAGATCTGAAATTCAAATGAATTAGAAAATAAAGGAAACAAAATGGAAAAAAAATGCAAACAAAGAAGAATAAATAGGTACCGAGGAATGTTATCGATCTGAAATTCAATTCCATCGCTAGCAAAGACGAACAATTCATTGAGAAATGGTGCTGGCATTCCATGAGCAAATAATTTAGGATTCAATGACATTTTCGACTAACAACAAAATCAAATATTTGATCGATTATCAGAAATGGCCTTTGTTTTTTTTTTTGGAATAATGTTTTGATAATTTCAAATTCCGTGTATTTATGGGTTACTCTTAAACGTGTTTTTCGCGTGTAAAGCTTTATACCCTATACCAAGTATTGTTTGACAAAGTATATAAAAAAAATTAGGGGTGTGCATTAGTGCATAGGTCGGTTCGTTCAGTTTTATGTATTATTGATTAGGATTATCTGTTTTTGATTTTTAAATATGCTAAATTAATATCAAATCAAAATATTTTTTATCAGTTTTGACCATTAACTCGTTTTCGGTTTATCCAATAAGAAAATATTCATAAAATAAAGACATAATACATAAATATACCCTTTAACTTGACTTCATTTTATATTTATATGTGCACAAGTAAACACTTGAACTTGTATAAAGTTAAACAAGTAGACACATGAGTTCTACGTGACATAATACACGTAGGACACCACATATGATGCAAATTTCCATGTAGGATGCCGCGTAGGACGTGTGTGTATTTGTTCAATTTTATACATGTTTAAGTGTCTATTTGTGCACACTCAAAGTCAAAGGGCATAAAAGTAAAATGAGGTCAAGTTAAAGGGCATATTTATATCTTATGCCTAAAATAAATATATGATCTCTCACTTCTTTAACAATTTGACACGATACAATGAGACATGCAAATAAGTTGTAGATGCTTTGGTATAGTGAAACAAGAAAATATAATGAGAAATTGAATCAATAAGAGTAGATGTAGTATGAAGGCAACAATCACATGTTACAACTAAAACATAATATGGAATTTCAGATGTGAAGTAGAAGTAATGTGACGTGTGAAATGTGTAGATTGTAGTGTAGTGTACGGATATAGTGTCTAATTATGTTAAATTATTAATATTTAATATTTATGACGGGTATAGTAGTAAATTACTATCGTCTTAATGAGTTATCGATTTACCCAATAACTCAATACTAAAAATCGATACCAAACTGATAACCCAATTTTTTTTTTTATAAAACCATTAAAAACTCGTTTACCTAATAATTCAATAGCATTTTTTTTGATTCGATTTCTATACACCCGTAAGAATAATTCTACATAAATTGTAATAGCAATGATGAGGTTAGTAGTATTCCTCATTGCTTTCTGAGTCGAATATGTTTCATGGGGGCTTGTTTAGTATGGTTTACATCTTCTATGTAGTTTGAAGGTTATTATACAATGAGATTTGCCCAGTGCACACAAGTGCTCACCAGAAAGACGAATGATGTGACAGAGGGTGTAGTGATTGTGGGTTATACTGGGGGTCTCAAAAAAGTGTTGAAGTTAGTAAGTTAAAATTAGTTATATTGAAATTATTTCGGTTTGGTTTGGGTGTATTAAGGATAGTTTCATTTTTACACATGTTTATTCATGTATTAAATTTCTAATATATCCTACCAAACGACTCCTTAGTACTATCCCATTTCATTTTACTTGTCCCTTGTTAATTTCGACACTCCCCTTAACAATGTGTTTAATGAATGTTATTTAAATTTAATTGTATTGCATGTATTGTTACTTTAAATAGAATTTTTGTATTGATTAATTGTATTGTATTTTTCGTTAAATTTATTGTTACGTACGAATGAAAATCTAATGTGGTGTAATTATAGAGTTGATGTGATTGTGTTGTTATCTTCTATTTTTCTTTACTTGCATTTTGACTTTATTCATTAGTTAATAATCTTATGTTATCAATTACTCTATAAATATATTTCTACTTCGTATCGTTATTTTCATTTAGATTCATTTTTCAAATTATTGATATATAACATTATATAACAAAAAAAAAAAATACCATTTATTCAAATATCATATTCATCAAAACAATATAATAGCATAGAAAATCTTTACACTATCAACAAATTAGAGTTATTCACTTTCATAAAGAAAGTCAAATAACACTATATAATTAATTAAGTCTAACCGTGTTGCGATGTCGATATTACAATTAAAAACCCAATATTTAGGGAAGACTTATGGTATAAATTTATATTTTTATAATCTCTAATCTATGATATTAAATATTAACAATAATTATCAACTAAGTTAACGTTGAATTGTGTTAACTTTCTAAACTAATCTTATCTACTTCTCCATTGATCTCGTGTGATTATTGTTTCTTTCTTTCTATTTTGAGAGGGTATGTTTGGTATGGAGGAATATTTTTTCAAATTTTGGTTGATTAAAATAAAAATCTTGAAGATTAGAAAAAAGATTTCAATAGAAAAGACAAGTTTCATATGCGATTTTATTAATGCGGCGCTTTAGGATATTTTGATATCTTGTTTATGAACTATAATTTACTAGTTTGCTAAGATTATATAAGAATTTGAGAAAACTTTCATAGTTTTCATGATTAAGAGGAAAAAAATACAATTTAAAAAAATTTCAAATTGCATGTCCAAACGCAACTTCATATCGATCTGATTTCATACACATCGCATGTCTAAACGGGCCTTAATGTAAGTTTTTTACTCTAAATACAGCTAGGGGAGTGACAAAATTGATCCATACATTCACCATCCAACTAATCCAAATGGGTTGGGCATGAAATATTTTTCTGATGGGCTGTTTTGGGCAGTGCCCATATTTACTTGTAAATTTAAATTAGCCCAAACACAAACCCATTGACATCAAAGGCGTAACGATCTAGGCACTGTCACGGAGATAGGCTCGGTGACATAGACATGTCTATGAAGATGCGGACTACCTGCACTTGGACCAAAAGACCCTATAAAGCTTCACTGTTCCCTGGTATTGGCTTTGAGCCTTTCATGTGCAGCTTAGGTGGAAGGCAAGCACCTCAACTATTCCACCAAGTACGCACCCAACAAACACATATACCAAATAACTTTGCCCACCAAGGCTTAAAAGAAGATTTCCATATGACAAACCCTTAAAATTGTCGATTCTTACTCACGTTCCTTCTTATGAATCAAATGCAACTGCATGAAGGAGCTACAACAATATATAGTGGCGGAGCCATATTGACCAAGGGGTGGTCAGTTAAACATCCTCCATCAAAAAAGTATATTGTATATGTAGGTAAAAAATTACTCTTCATACATATATATTAGATCTTGAACAACCTTGACAAAATTAGTAGGCTTCACCAATGACTATATACGATTGAACCGCAAAGAATGATGCAAAAGATATCGCAGCTTAGCAGACATCCAAAATGAAACCATATTCAACAAACACTTGACATTCTTAAGCTAGTATTACCAGCCAACATATTTCCGATACCGACACTGAATGAGTACCTTTCCACAGGACAAATGTAGAAGAAAGCTCTGGCATGTGGAGTCCAAAACTGCACTACTTTTGGAGGATCCAACACGCACTCGGTGACATTTTTGAAGAGTCCGAGCAACATAGTTGGACTGTATGTCTGCAAGCCTTCTTCTGAAAATAGTATCAAACAAGAAAGTTACAATCTAATAGTAGATCTCTCGGATTTTCTGCATATAGTGTCGACAAGAGAACCTTTAAAGGAAAGAAAAAGAAAACACTCTGCAGCAACTTATACAAGGTAACCAATGTAAGAAAACAGCATCATACACGTCTCGAAGACGAAAGTAAATATTTCCTGCCTGCACATAGAAATTCCTTTTAAACAAACTAGGTGTTAGCAACTCATTCTTTTTCTCTTTATTTTCGAAGTCCAATTACCACACAGATGTTCGGTATCCTCTTAAATTCTAAACTTCCAAAAAGAAATTACCAAAGCTCAAAGAATTAAACAATCTCTAAGCATCTGCTTAACTATATAAAAAGATGTAGGGTTAGTTTACCCCCCCTTAAAAAGGATATTACCTGCTGAAGTCTTCGCGGTAGTTGAAAAGAGTTCCACAAGTCCAGACGATGCCAGGCTAGAGAGTTCAATCTGATCTTCTTTCACCAATACATTTCAGAACCTAAGCAATTTTTCTTCGGAAGCCTGAGAATTCAATCAGCAAAAACATCAAATTTGTAACCTTTAGTACGGAGGTCAAACCTGCAAACCCATGCGAGTCCTCTAAACATCAGCCCATCTTCAAGCCAAGTGATCTTAACAAACAGTAAATAGACATAATGTACATGTTATCGAAAAAAAAAACGCAAAAAGCTGAATTGCATCCTTAAACTCAGATGCTGCAGAGCGGAATTATCCAACTGCTTTAAGAGAAAAGAGTACTACATACTGCAGTGCAGACTCCTGTTCCTCCAACTCGAAATAGCAAGTGATGATACTAAGCATGTGAAATATTACATCAGTTCAACAACTAGCTTCAGAAATCTAGTCTTCGGAGTACTACTGAGCAATGTATAGCATGAAGATAATAACATAGACTTCTGCATCATCGAATAGTTCTCAAGTTGAAACTCAAGCTTCTCCGCTTCAAAAATATGACGCTCACTACAAGTTTATATGTTGGAACAGATAGCAAGCCCAAGGCTCTTGACAATGTCACAGTTACAACGTCCATAGCACGCTATTAATTCCAACCAATACACTCCAACGACTTCATTTTACACCTTATCATGCATCACTTCACCAGTGACAAGTGAACCTTTTCATACACGAGAATGCAGAAAAATCATTCAATCAAGAAACAATGTATCTAAGGAACAAATTCCATAACACTCATTTGAGTCACTGAAAGTTTCAACAAATTACAGAATTCAATTCATTCATCAGAAACCTCCATGGTTTCGTTACAAAAAACATTCATGTGGAACTACAGGTTTTCGTAGACCACACTTAAATAACTATCTTATCCACTCACCATTATCAAAATGGCCAAGCACTTATTAAGCAGTTCTGTGCTTGTAGTGGTAATTCCAACCAAATTCATCGATCACAAGAAACTACCTTAGATTCTTGCGTCTCGTCTTATCTCTCTCGCTACATCACTCATAACTTAAACGAACTGAAACCCTAACAAATGCAATGATGGAACGATCGAACAAGCAAACACTCTAATCCTAGCAATAATTCAACAAATTGCAACAAAACCTAGCTTCATTTCTCACTCACTACACTACCTAATACCTAAAAATTAACAATACGAACAAACAAGAACAACAATACTTCAATTTATACATATCATAAACAGCAAATACTTCATATATTCTTCATTGTCCATCATCATCCCTTCTCTGCGGTCCGGAACCTGAACCGGACAGAGAAGCTAGCAAATTCAGATGCCCTTGAGCTATAGGAAAGTAATTCCCAACTCTACCAACTGATGCCTCTTCCATCTGCTGCTGAAGAAGCCTCGACGGGTGCGAAATCATCGCCGCGGAATGTGAAATCTCCGGCGGCGGTGCAGCGAAACTCCAAACTTGTCCAAAATCCGGCCTAGCAGGAACAGCCCAAAACCCAGCACTAGGAACCACATCCTTATCTCCACTTCCGTTATCATCATCCTCAGACCGTAAACGCTTCCCAAGCAAAAACGGCGCCGGAGAAATCAACGGATGTAACAACGACGGCGACGGCAACTTATGATCAACCGGAGCAGAAGCAGAAACAGAAGAAATGGAATTCCGTAAGGAAACTGAAACAGTAGAGAAACTAGCAGGTATAGTTCCAGTACCAGTAGCAGCTATAATCGAAGGTTCAGCTTGTCTCAACAACCATTCAATTGTTTGTCCATCGGATTTATGACCTAGTTCACGAGTTAGCTGAAAAACCCTAGCAGCACAAACAATTGGCATCCTTATACGTCTTCCTCTTCCATCAACTTTACTATGCCGGTCCTTCGCCGGCTGTTTCTTCACCGTCAAAGCACCATTACTATTAGCAACTCCACCACCGGAGCCGGCGGTAGAATCGAGTAAAACGGCGCCGTTTGGTTCTACCGACGTCGACATGTAGAGATTTTTTCTAAACTTTATGGAAAAATAAACACCAATTATACAGAAGAAATTGAGGGTAGAAGGGGAACAGGGGGGGTGGGGGGTCAAATGATTGAGAGGCAGGACCTGGTGGAGACAGGAGGAGGGCACATGGTTGGGTGGGACCAAGTTTAATTTTTTCTGTTTTCCGATTTTTCAGTCGGTGTTTGATATAAAAAATTTGAATTCACGACAAAAAGTTTAGAAACATTTCTAAAGAAAGTGATTATATACCAAAACTTCAACTCGAAAAGTTTGAATGTGAATAAAGGAGTATTTGTCATTCCGGTGGGATCAAGATTAATTTTTTCAATTTTTCAATCTTTCATTCGGTGTTTGATATAAGAAACTCGAATAAATTCAAGTTTACAATGAAAAGTTTAAAAACATTTCTAAAAAAGCGATTTTGTATCAAAACTTTAACTCAAAAAATCTGAATGTGAATGAAGGAGTATTTGTCAATCTAATGAAACAATGTTTAATAGTACTTACTTATTATAAAGCACTAGCAAGATAAAGTGTGTAATATTGTTGATTTTATTTTGTGGGATAAGATATTTGAAAAAAACATGTTAAACATTCATAAAGTAAAACAAAATGCAAGTTGGAGTAATCAGGGTTGGTTTTCTTTTTGGTGATTGATATTCATATTAAAAATTTATATAAATTTAAATTTATGTTGAAAAGTCAAAAACTCAAACTTGAAAAATCTAAATATCAATGAAAAAATATTTGCCACTCTGATAAAATCATGTTTAATACTTACTTACTTCAAAGCACCAACAAAAATAAGATGTGTAATATATTTCAATTTTATTTTGTATGCAATAAAATTTTTGAAATTTATATTTAAAAAAACATTCATTTAGTAAATCAAAATGCCAAATAAAAATATTCAGTGTTTTAAAAGACAATTTTAAGGTTCCTCTAGAGATGGTTCTAGGGTAGGGTATTGACACTATTTATAATTTATTAAAAAAGTTTAAAATACATGAGACTTACGTCTCGTATTTTTGAGTTTATGTCTTGTCTTATACAAAATAAAATAATATTTTTCACACCCTCACATTTTAAAACATTGAAAGCAACTGCCAACTTGTAAGATGGTTAAGAAAAAACTCTACTTCAAATTGTCTAGATATGTGATTTTAAATTATGAGTTCATATTTTAATTTATAAATTTGTGTTTGTTTATCATATTTTAAATAAACTTGAAATTTTGATTTTACATGCTAAATTTATCAAAAGGGTCTAATTTTAAATTTGTGACTTCAGACACTAAATTTTAAATCATGCACCATAATTTGAATTTTGCAAAAAAAAACACTTGATTTCTATTTTGCAAACCAATTTTCTCCCTTCCAATAAAACACACTTAAAATCAGTTGGTGTTATCACGGGGAATTCTTTGTTAATCGTTAATTTGGGTTAGCTTGATTGTTTGATAAGATTGTATAAAAAATTCGAAAGTTTTTACAAATAGCGATTTTTCATGATTACAAGGAAAAGTATAATATGATTTTAAATTTTTACTCGTAAAATTTAATGACCAAATACAATTTCAATTTCAATTTCAAAACAATTTCAATTTGGTAAAATGAATAAATTAGTTTAGTATTTCAGCTTGAGTTGCCTTTTCAATAGTAACTATTTAAATTTTTTATTTTAACTTTGTTAAACATTTATTATTCATATTAACATAAGGGTTCATTCGAATTTCTTCATCGAAATTATTATTATTATTATATATAATATTTTTTTTTAAAATTAAATCATTTTAAATAAGATATAATAATAATCTTGACTTGACCACTATATCAACCTAAAACAATCTCACTTTTGATCCTCTCAACTTTTTGCTTTTATGAAAGGAGCATGAGATTAGATGGAAGATAAGGAGGAAATTATCATTCAAAGATGGGTGCTAACTATCCTTTAATTGTAGTTAGAAAGTTTTGATATCGATATCTGAAAATTAAATTATCTTTAATAAAAAGTATTTTACTTTTAAAAATTGAATTATTTAATTTTATGCAAATTCGAATTAAGATTAAAAATATATAAATATTAGATAATTATAAATAGGGATGTGAAAAAGTAAAATTACCTTGATCTCAAAAACCTAGTTGATTAAGAAAATACTAGAAATTGGGGATATATTTTTTCATACGATAAGCATAATATATAAACGTATATTTTAATTTGGCTTCGACTGACGTCTACGTCCTCCAATTTTGATGTGCAACAAAATAGACATTTAAATGTGTATAAAGTTTATTAATAAGTAGATACATGTGTCTTACGTTTCATAATATAAATCACTTCGAGTATATCTCATGTGAATTGATAAGAAGAACGTCACTACTTGTTCAACTTTATATAAATTTAAGTGTTTACTAATACATATTTAAAATTGAACTATATATAAAATATTAGTTAAGGCCAAATTAAATAATACGTTTATATATTATGTCCCATATTTGAGTGTGAAAATTAAAATATATATATAAATAAATAAAAAAGAGAGAAAAAAAGAAGATAAGGGAGAATTTAAGTTATGGTTGTCAGGGTGGGGGTCCACTTGTGGGACCCACCAAACTAAATCCAGAGTGTAGAATTTTTTGTGTTTAAACTTGAAACTTTGAAATTGATCACTGAATTCATTTACTTAGGTCTTAGTAGGTCCCACAATTTTATTTATTTTTAAATGTGGGAAAAATTCGCAGACGCTATTCTTTGAATGCATATAAGATAACTTTGTTTTTTTATAATAATTTACAAATTCTATAAGAAGAGATAAATTGCATCAGACAAATTTAATACGACAAACTCGAATAAAAATATATTAAGGAGAAATTGATTTTTAACCTCTTTATAAAATATCACTTACTGTACCAACTCAATCTCGATGATGAATTGTCCTCAAGAGTTATAAGGAAGTTATCAACCACATTTTGTTGATGAATTGTTTGGTCCATTCTAGATGTGTATTAAATGACATGTTTGTTGTAGGTAAGTACTCAATTTTTATCCCTTTTTTTTAGGGCTTTGAATGAACTTTTATGCAAAGTTTATTTATTACTATTATTTTTCTCTTTTTAAACTAAAGTGGATATAAAGAGGTTGCATGTGTTTCACAGGTTTTACCAAAAATCATAAAATACATTAAAAAAAAAAGTTATCATATTCAAAGGGGTAGAAAATTAGAAAAGAATTACCACTCCTTATAGCACACATTTTATTCTACTTTTTCGGTCTCAAATATTTTTTCCTTTTTTAAAAAAATACAAAAAATGAGTTATATTTGTTATAAAATAATATATTGTGGATGTCCACTACATCAAGAAGTTACTCCATACTTTCCTCCATTATGAAGATAACCATAACCTCCATAACCTCCACCTTTATAACCA